GGTGCCCTCGCGGGGGCTGCCAGGGGTCCATCGGGCGGGCGGCCCCTCCCCCCTGTGCCAGCTGGGCAGGCTTCAGAGCTGCTGCTGCAGCCCAGCCTGCACCAGGGACCGCCAAAGGACTGAGCTGGTAGGAGATCTCAGACCTTCCATCTTCAGTGCCCACCCCACACGTAACCCTCCTGCCCCTTCCTTCGAGGTCAGGGCAGAAAAATCGGTAGCGAGAGCCGCCTGGCTGGTTGAGGGCAGGATGCAGATGCTCCAGGGAGCTGTTCCCGTGAAGAAGCAAAGGGCTGGGCATCCTTGCAGAAGACATGAGGATCGATGCGTAATTTAGTTAGGCTTGACTGAGTAGGAGATGCGGCCAGTGGAGAAGGGGAAATTTTCCACTCTGTCCTGACTGCTTGGCATAGTGATCGCTGGGCAAAACTTGTAAGGGAGGGGGCATGGGTGCCCAGCCCATCAGACATGCTGGGCTGCCCCTGAGGCCAGGGGGGAGCCATGGGAGACAGGGGCAGGGCAGCGTATCACTCACAGGGGAAACAGGCAAAAAAAAAAAACAGCCCAGGGGATTAGACCGAGTGAGCGTTCCTGAGATTATAGCTCAGAGGTGGGAGCCGGGGCTTTCTTCCCACACTGCTAATCACTTACCCAGCACTCTGAGCGTCTGAGCCCTGCCGTTGTGCCTCCAAGCTGGAAGGTGGGGGCCCATCCTACCTTCCTCCCCCGGGGACCTGACTGCATTGTCAGGCTTAATTCATTAACATCTGTGAAGTGCTCCTGCTCCTAGGCTGGAAGGCAGCACAGATTTGGCTCACTCCTGCAATCGCTAAGCAGCACCAGGGAGAAATGGGGTCTGATCTGGCCCTACTGTGTTGCTACCAGCCAGCAAAGCACAAGGTTAAGCCAAAAGAGTAAGGAAGATGGGGAAGAGCCAAGGCTCTGCAAAGTGATCAATCATGCAAAGGTCAAATCCACATCTGAAATATAACAGACAACCAGCAACAGTGAATGAAATCCCAGGAGGCCTGGGCTAAGATCAGACTGACAAGAGAAGAGCAACATCTCAAGAGCTAACCAAAATACCACCAGCTCCAGGACGTCCGGCTTTGCCTCCTTCCTTGAGGGGTGGGCAGCTGCCTTCATTTGGCCTCAGGAATTCAGGTCCAAGCCCGCAGACGTGGGCATCCTCGGGCATGGCATTATACGGGTTCTTATATCACTGGCATGGCTCCCTGCCCCGGTGGGGAGGACGCCCAGGTCGGGCAGCTGGGCAGCCCTGCCTGTGGAGTACAATTCTCCAGGGGAGCTTTCAGAGCCAGAGGAAAGGGTTTCCAGCAGCAGCAGCAGCTGAGTGCCAGTAAGGCATTGCTGCCTTAGCTTCAGCAGCAGTGCCATGCAGGGCACGGCGAGGCACTGCCAGTGAGGGGGATGTGGTGCTCAGCTGTGAAAGCACAAGCTTTGAAGTGTTTTCGTTTCTTCTGCATAAAACTGGGATTGTTTACATGTATTATCTAGTAGTAGATGAAGTTCTCGTCTGACTCAAGGTGCCACCCGCTCTCAGGCATTGTGCTGCGTTTGTCTTGGGACTCCCCGCAGCCAGAGACAAGGGGAGTGCCCAGGCTCACCATGGGTCTGTTCCTGATGCTATCCCCAGAGTCACAAGGGATGGTGGCCTTGTGTCCCCTGCAGCCACCTAGGTCCTGCCCTGCTGTCCCTGTTTTCCCAGCGGCAAGTGCTGTGGGTGGGGGCCACCTCAAGCCCTCCAGCTCTGAAGCCTGTGGGGCAGCAGCCTGTGCTATCTCCCCTGGCAGGCTTGGAAGAGCCCCCAGGATCTTTCTTTTGCACTGTTGGAGCTGCCTAAGACCCAACCCTGAGCTTTGGGAAGCTCCTCCGAAGCGTGCCAGCCCTTTCCCTCCCCTGCTGCCCTTAGGAAATGTGTGTGCTCCTGGAGGGCTAAAATTAGCCAGCCAGCTGTGCGGCACGCTTGCACAGAGCCTCAGTCCCCAGGCATGGCCCGCCAGCCAGGTCTGCTGAGGAGGCAGCATCCTACCAAGGGTAACAGGACTAACGCAGACTGCCGCAAGGAGGGCAGCGGGAGAGGCTTTCCCCATTCCTCTGCCCCCTGAGCCTGCGCGGGGACCCAAGCACCAAGCAACCGAAAGCAGTGGGCAGAAGGGAGAGGGTGTCTGCTCTGGCTGAGCCTGGCAAAGGCTGCCCAGGAGAGGCACAGCCCCTTCAGGCGCCTTTCCTTGCTGTGCCCCTCCCCAGCACAGGCTGACAGCGCTTTCCCCATCTCACCCATCCTGGGACCCCACTCCCCCATGCACGGGCAGGGGCTCCCCGAAGCGGAGCGGTGCTTCAGGCGCGGAGCTGCAGCCTGCCCCTCACGCGGTTCCTCGCGCTGCCTTTCGCTCCCCCTCCCCAGCACGGCTCCCATACAGAGGCGGCTGAAAAGCGGCGGTGGGAAGCACCGCAGCTGCAGAGGGAACAGGCCTTTTTTAGCAGAGCAGCCTCCCCGCTGCTGGGCTGCAGGCAGAGCTGTGCAGGGCTGTGCTGCAGCGCTGCAGCCTCCCCTCGCTCCCTTACACCCAGCAAAGACCCTTGGCCCCTACCCATGAGAGAAAGCCCGTAGCTTCGTGGCACTTGCTTGCTGCCCTGTTCCCACTGGCTGGGATCTGATGGGATAACTTCATCTCGCGTGTTTAAACTGCCAGTACTTTTGGGGGTGAAGTTTAACAGGGCTGCAGCAGTGCCTGAAGTGGGGGTATGCAACTGCGGGGCGCCGGGGGCTGCAAAGAGGGCACGCCGAGGAGCCTGCAGAGCTTGGATGCTCCATGGCGCAGCAGCACTGAAGGGCAGGGGTTCAGGGTTCTCATTTTGGATGTTTCTATTCCATTTCGGGTGCTTAAAGCCTTTTCTGGAACTGAGTTTAAAATTAGAGGAGAATTTTTCCTGAGTAACTCCTTTTACTGGCAAAGCGTGGGCTGAGAGGGAGGACAGCCCTATTGAGAGCTGCTGGTAACCCCTTAATGATGGGGTGAGCGACGCAGCCAGGAATAGACCCACAGAGGCTGAAAAGGGAGCTCAGCTTTTCACCCTCTGTTGCCTTTTCTCATCGACCATCTCCCCCATCATGGGTCCGGCACCCTGTGGGAACCCATCTCCCACATCATGACTATTTGCCAACTGTAGCGCTTCACCAACAGCAATGGTTTCTGCCCGGCAGGTCCCATGGGAGCTAATCCTATTCCCAGGGCCCGAGATGGGGAGACGGCAGCTCAGAAAACCCTCCCGAGAACAGGTGACGCAGGAGAAGCGCAGCAGGCTGAGGACGGAGGTGCTCACTGAACGCTGCCCTCCCTAGCCAAACCCCACTGGGAACTGGGTCAGGCAGGGAGAAGGCAGGAGTCCCCCCGGTCACACCAGTGTGGCGAGTTCCCAGCTCCGGGACTTTAACCACCATCCCACCCTCCCCATCACCATGCCTTGCCCATGTCACCAGAAACGTTCCCTCTGCCACCGGAGGTGGCCCCAGTCCCAGAGCCTGGCCATGGCTTTGGGCTCCAGTGCTCCAGGGAGCCAGGAAGGGCTGAGTACCATGGGGTCAATGCCACGAAGCCTCTGACTGCAGCTGGGCAAACCAACCCCAGTAAGCGGGCCCCACATGTTCCCCCTTGCCTGCAGTGCAGGCAGAGCAAGAGCGGAGAGAGCATCAGGACCCCAGCCGGAGCTCCGGTGTCCTCCTGGGGGAATGGGGCAGCCCATGTTCCCCTCAGCAAGGCAGGAGGAAAGCTGCGGGCCAAGGGACCACCACCGTTCCTGCACGAGGATGGACATATTCATTGCATCCCACATAGTCATCCATGTGATCCCGCCCAAAGCTCTCGCTTTTGCTCCTGCTGCTTGGCTGGCCAGGGAGAGTGACCGAATTTACCTTGAGCAGCTCCTTGGGGAAATCAGTGCCTCCATTGAGCCCCTCCAAGTTGCCAATGAAGTCGGAGCAGGACATTCTCTTCCCAATGTTCTGGGGGAGCCAGGGGGAGAGAAACGCTGGGGGTTACCTTTGGGCCGGGGGACCTGCGCTGGCTGGAGCAGGTCCCACAGCCCAGGAACAGAACCCCGTCTCTGCAGTGGGGTGAGGGACCAGCCACGTCTCAGGGAGGCTGCTTGAAGGTGTGGGGAAGCTGCCGGCTTTGCCTAGCCTCCTTTTTCTAAGTTGGGTGCTACCTGCTCCCATGGCAGCTAGTTTTGGAGTCTCACTCCCACCCTCTCTCCCTGTCCACTTTCCTCTTCTGTCCTCATCCCACCTCCACATCTTCCAGCTCAGCACGTCTCCTCCAAAGCCCCACTCTCTCCTTCGCCAGCTGCCTCTCTCACTCAGCCTTTCTCTTCTCTCCTCCCCAGACACATTAGAGGTGACCAGCCCTCATGGGTCCAGGGTCCTGTACCTGTGGTTCAGGGCGGTGGGGACAGACAGGGCCGATGGCAGTGGGAACTTACGTGTCCATGCAGATCTGTGTTTAACAGCATCAGGGCGCAGGTGAGGGTGTGGGCTCCGTCTGCAGCACAAGCACAGGACAGGAATTAGAGTCCCTGGCTCGGCCCCACCACCGGTGCTCCAACCCCTCAGCATCTCAGGCAGGGCACGGGAGCTCTGAGCCCCCAAGACAGCCCCGAGCCCGCTCCTCCCACCCCGGGCACGTGGGGCACACAGCAGTCAGCGTGGTGCTGGCAGCACGCGGGCGAGTAGGTAGGAGGCCACTGAATTAAAGCTGGTCCCAAACCTGAGCGTACAAACTCCCTTCCAAACCTGCAGCCCCTTCAGCCAGGCAGCGACGCTGCAGCTAATCCTGCAGAGCTCCTAGCACGGCAAGGTGGGACCGGCACAGCCCTCTGCCAGCCAGGCAGCCCAAACCTCACCTGCCCCAGAGCCAGCCCAGAGCAGACCCAGCATGTGAACACACACAAGAGAGGCGCAAAGACGTGGAACAGTACGAAGTGGGTGTATGTGCCGCCCCGAGAGCCGGGCACCTGAGTTTTCTCACCTGGCTATTCCCTGAGCCGAGGGTCTGAGGGTTGGGGTCTATTTGGTGAGGAGGGCCTTCTCTCGCCTCTTGTGCTAATCTGCTCAAGGTCAGAATTAAGGATGGGTTGAGCCCTAATTATGCATGATCCAATCAGAGCAGGTTTTTTTTAAAAAAAAAAATCTAAAGCATCTGTCATTTGAGGGAAATGACATCTCCGTAACCGGGGCTGACTCCTCCTAAGGTGTCAGTACAGGCTCTCAGCCTGCTCTCTGGTTTCAGTTTGAGCACCTTCACTGAGCTGACGAACGCATGGGCTCGCTTGAAACACACACACACACAGAGACATGCACAGTTTCTTACCCTCTGAAGAGATGGCGTTGGGATTACACTCGTAATAGCGCTGGGAAAAATGAGCCAGCACTCGCTCTCGCTCTTGCGTCTCTCCCATCAAGGCCAGCTCCTTTAGAAAGGACCTGAAGAAGCAGCAGCAGCATCGGTCATACTTGAAGCCCACCAGCAGCTTCTCCAACCCACCTTGCGCAGGAGTGGAGCTGAGCTTTTCTGGTCTGGAGACCAGATGAAGCCCTGCCATCGCACATCCCTCCCAACCCGCCGCAGGACTCCCCTCCAAGCCCACAGCATCATACCCTGCCAGCACATCGCAGAGACCTACAGCCGGCCCTGGGCCCTACGCCGGGGAAGGAGGTGGGGGTGACACCAAGAGGTTCTGGGCTTAAGGCCTGGAAAGCCAGTCCTAGGTGAACCTGACTGTCACCCAACCGCACTGACTGGTGAGTTAAAACCAGGGATGCTCTTTCGCGGTTGTGTGGCTGAGAGACCATTTTGGGACTCAACCCCTGCCATATAAGAGGCAAGGGGATCTCCAGGTGGGAGCCGTGGGGTCTCCTTGCTCCTGCAGATCCCTATGCAGGTGCGGAGCTGCGGAAGGCGTGGTCTGCTAGGACCCCACTTGGGTGGCCACCACACACGCACACATGTACATGCACTCAGCTCTGACCTGAGAGCCTGGTCCAGGCTCATCCCCGTGAACACAAAGAACTTCAGATATTCTCCTGCCACCATCTTGCTGAACTCGTTGCTGAAATAGAAAAGGGGGGAGCGAGAGTGGGATCGACTAGACCATGGGGACAGCAAAAGGCACACAGGGGTGGGCTGGATTCCAGGAGGTTGGGAGCTCCCCAGGGCTGCGGGAAGCATGCTGGGAACAGAGACACCCCACACTCCCATGAAACTCAGAGGAGTCACCCACAGATCCAATGGGAATACTGGGCATGTAAGAGAAACTGGAGAAGCTAGAGCTGGAAGGGCCCACGAGAGGTCAGCTAGCTGTCTCCCTGCCCTGACACCTTACTGAAGCATCCAAGATGCAGTCATGGTAGGAAGGTACCAAAACCTGGATGTCTCTTAGGTTTTAAGACCTTTAGAGGGAACAGATGTACCAGGTATACCAGTCACGGGGAGTGGGCTCTGGGGTCCTGCCAGCTATTCCCTGCCAGCCCAGTGCCCTGCAAGGGCAGCAGCTGTGGGTAAACCGTGGGTGCAGGTGGGCCCCTTGCAGAACGGGCCGTTCCTTGTTAATACCCACACGTACTTCTTCCCCAAGTGACGGGCCACATCTGCTTTTTTAAAGCCATCCAGGTTGTAGAGCCTCTTGGCCAGGCGTTTGGCAGCCTCCAGGTCAGCCTTGTGCCCGTTGGAGAGGGTGTCCGTGCTGCCCAGGGCCAGCTGCTCCACGCTGTCCATCTCCGAGTCTGAGTCCAAAACCAGCTGGCTCAGGGGGTGGTCACTGCAATGGGAAGGGACACTCCGCGTTAGCCTGCCTACAGCTCCTCTCCTCGTTCAGCTTCTCAGGAAATGCAGGCTCCTCATTCTGCTTTGGAGACCAGCTACTCACTGCTGGGACCCAGGATGAACAACACTGGTTAGAGACACTCCCAGGTCAGGTCTGGGAGCTAAGGGAAGGTTTGGGGATGCGGCTGGAGGAGAGGTGGGGTGACAGGACAGCTCCAGTGGCTGATGACAGGACCAAGGCACCCAAATCCACGTCCAAACTGGATGTGGAGAGACAGGACAACTGCTCCAAAGTCCCCCACCCTGAGTCTGTAAAACTGCATGTGTGGGCTCAGGCTCTGCCAAGCTCAGTCGTAGTGGAGACTTGGAGCATAAACATATGCACATCACATGCTGTCCTACAGATCATTATTTTTTAACCTGGACAAAGTCCTTGTGCTGCTCTCGCGTGCAGTTTCTATCCAAGACAAGACGACTATAATTCCTTCACTCGCCTCTTCCCACCCACTGACTTCAAAGCACTTCACAGAAGGGAAAACTGAGGCAGAGAAGGTGAAGACAAAGGAACCCCCCCCCCAGCCTCCCAGCTCACAGCAGGGTGTACCGTCTTCTTCAGGCTGCCCATCAGCTCTCAGCCCACCATGCCTTAAATGGCCACGTTAGGAGACACTCTTGGCTTAGCCCCCGAAGCAGTCTGACTCAGCGGCGCAGAAGTTATCCCAACCAAAAAACTGGTTGAATCTAATCAACAATGAACGTTAAGCAACTCTGACCTCGCCCAAATTTTCTGGCAGCCCTCGCAATGTTCCAGTCTGATTTATTTTTAAAAGTCTCTAATTGACTTTTAAGAGGCCTGCTCTCCTGAGCCAATTACCCAGGTCAATCTCCTTGAGGCTCCGCTTCTTCCACGAAGGACGAGCCTCCTTGCTGCTCAGTGCTGCCCGTCTCAGGGGAGTCCTGTGCAGCACTGACAGGCTGCCCCGTGCCTCGGGGGGGGCTCTCG